ATTACGACAATCCCCAATAATGATGTAATGAATGTTTTTTTTTAATCATTATTGTAAAACATTAAGTTGAATGATTTTTTTTTTATTTATTATTTGTAAAACATTAAGTTGAATGGTTTATATTAAATATGAAAAAAAAAGTACCATTAATGCGATTTTTGATTGCCCTGTAACACGAACGTATGTTCCTGCGCTTCGAGACAAGCTTGTTCTCCTGAGAGTCCCGATGGGTTGACTCAGGAGAATGAGCTTGTCTCGAGCGCAGGAACATACGTTCGTGTTACAGGGCAATCGAAATCGCATTAATGGTACTTTTTTTGTCATTTTTAGTACATAAATCATTCAAATTAATGTTTTTTATTTTTCTTTGCTAAACTTAAGTTGAATGAGTTTTTTTTTCTTATTGTAAATCATTAAGTTGAATGGTTTTTTTTTTTTTTTGCTAAACTTAAGTTGAACTGATTCATTTTTTTTTTATTTGCTAAACTTAAGTTGAATGAGAAGCGTCATACCACAAGTGAATGATATCGTTGTTTTATTCAAGAAGGTTTTTTTTGAACAGTATACCACAATCGCAACCTAGCGTCGTACTGATCCTCCAAACCCACAACCGATTGATCTCGGTAACGGAACCACATGGAATGAATAGGCGGTAATGGACAATCATGAGTCAAATCTAAACGAATGTAGTGTTCTACGGTACCAAGATGGCACATGACAATCTCACGACATGGTCCTCTAGCCGATGATCGTGCAATGAGAGGCAACACTGTGATGCTGAATAAGTTGTGTTGTCCACCTTGCGGACCAGAGCCCAACAGAACGACAACCGCATTAAATAGGGTCACAACGGCGTAGAGGTCCTGCGGAACTTCGAACCAGTGAGCCCGTCCACAAGGGCCCTTGCCCCACCTTACGCGACGGAGTCCGGTGTCGATATCTCTAAAATAAATGTACTCGTACAATTCACGGTGGTTGTCGACCTCCTTCGCAATGCTGTCTCTTGCATCTGCTCAGTACTTCTGGTGACCATACACGTGACTCGCGATGACCCGAAATCCGCAGTTACCATCCGCATCCACATTCAGGTAACTCACTATGTAGTCCAACATATGCCAGGGGATATTTTGCCAGATTGAAAATTCAAATATATTTGTCGGTCCAAACTCTGCAATAAATATCATAATAATTTCACGTCACAATTTATATAATCATATAAATACTTCAATTAACGCTCAACCATATTTAAAAAAAAATATATATGACCTGCTTCCCCTTGTGACTGTTGAGAAGACGAACTTGCCTGTCCACGCGAAGAAGTGGTCGTACGGCTCGATTTTCGACCTCGTGATCTATCGTTGTACTCAAAAGCAGATGGTTTACGCTTAGTTGAATTAGTTTTCTTGGGATGACCTCGCGGGTTATCCTTAACCTCAGGTTCCACATAATCCTGTTGGTTTGGGTAAAGATGACTGTACATGAACTGATTCACGTACCGCATCGTCGCGGGATCGCATGTTTCAACCTCACTCACAAGTGTCTGAAAGAACTCCGCATCTGACCATGCAGCCTGGCTCGCCTGGCTCTGATGACCAGTCCCTACAAGTATACGATAAAAAAGTCAATGAATTAAACCAAATGATGTACTTTAATTACATAAATTGTAATTGAAAATGAAACAGCAAGTAGAAAATTATAAATAAAACATTAACCTTAAATTACCTGGCTCTAACATCTGTAGCGTTCTCCAGAACTGGTGAATCATTCTGAGATCAATCGGAAGTTTGGAATCAACTGCGGTACGGAGCAGACAGGCACAAGGAAGTCCATGAATGAACTGCAATACACAGCCGCAGCTAGTGTAAACATCGGCGTCCAAGCCGTGCATCCTCGTAAGCTCAACGTCCAATAAACTCAGACAGTAATGTGAGACCCTCAGTATCACGCTCGCGAAAAGGATGCCCTTATACCGTGTATTATTCTTAGATCTCGAGGCCTCAAGCGCCGTCCTGATAATACGTTACATAAAATTAGATTATAATTAATTAATGCAGTAATATAATAACGCATTTAAAAATTGCAGTACGTACTTGATTTCAGTCACTTGATTATCGATGTGCTTATTAATCTTCTGCCAAATTGTATCGAGCGCGCCGGTGGACGTGTGAAGCCACTCCTTCAACACAGAGTGGGAACTCTCCACCCTACAGGAAGTTGTGTTTCTAAAATGTGTCACTTGGTTGGTCCAAGCCTTCACAAACTTCTCCTTGTGCCCTAACCATGTGCTCTCCACATACCGTATCACCTCCGGAGACTTCGAATATTTTGCGTGCAGCTCGGCAACGGCATCGGTGTAGGCATCCAACGTACTGACCTCTGCAATCACCTTCCACGTACTGTGCGTGAAAATTTCCGAGAATTTTTTACTCTTCCAAATAGTTTGTAGGCTTTGTCTTCCACATCCTTGTTAATGTACCACGTGCAGAGTAAGTGAGTTGATTCAGGAAAATGCCTCTGACTAGGAGTTATTAAACTCAACTATCTGTCACTGACAACAACATAAGGATATACGTCTTGGCCTATCAGTAGTCTCAACTTCTCTAGAACCCAGTCGTAACTGGCCTCTTTCTCGTCCCTGATGAGCGCATACACAATTAGGAAGTTCTGGTTGCACGGCGTCATCCCAATCATCTCGACCAGCGACATCTTGTACCTGTGCAAATGAGACCAAGAAGACAAAAAAATATAATCAAATAAAAGTCTACTTAATCAAACACACTATTTAAGATTCATACTAATAAAGTATTTATAAAGTAACATACTTGTTGGTTTTATACGTGGAATCTATGCCGACATACCAGTGATATGTCCGGAATAGATTGATCGACGCAGATGGGCCATGAATATATGCGTCAACGCTTTCGTGTTCGGATCAGATTCTGCATAAACTGTATACTCGCTGCTCACGGCCAAATGCATAAGCTGGGAAGGAACGTCTCTACCGTCGAAACTCTCTTTCCGCAGCTTATCTCTAAAGTTATATACCTGTCACCGATTAGCGTTAATTATAATGATTATTATAATTTAAAACAAAAACATATTTTATTAATAAATAAAAACGTATATTAATGCGATTAATTTGATAAAAAAATTATTAACTATCACAATAATAATACATTAGTAAATATAATAAAATTTATTAATTATTACAATAACTTTTACATATAAAAAATTACGAATTATCATAATTAACTTCAAAAAATTAATTAAAACATACTCCTTCCTACTTTTAATAAATGTCGTTTTGAGAAGTTGCACAATAATTAAGAATATTTTTTTGTCAATAATAACCCTCATTAATGAGGATAGAAATTGATGTTTTGAGAAAAGATGGAGAGTGAATATGAAAAGACGTAGTGTATTTATTAGTTAGATGAGGATAATGATGGAAAAATATGTACAAAATAGCCAAAACGATATTTATTTAACAAATGATCAATTAAGCTAGAATGACAAATGATAAAAATAGGAGGGAGTATATTACAAGATATAAATATATATACCTGTCGCACATGAACGTTGTCTTCCGGATTCTTTTCCTTCAGCGCAGCCATAATTTTTGCCGGGGCCACCTGAGCGTCCGTCATATCACGAACAATTTTCTTAGATGAAGCGCTGAGGCCGCTCAATTGGCGATGACCCTCAGGATACACAACAAATGTATGGTTTTGGTAGCCCTTCTTTTCATTGCTATATCTACAGATCCTCCAGTATGAAGCGCTGGACACCTTTTTTACTTTAATCTCAAAATTGCAGCCGCACTTATTCGTTTTTGTCTTTCTGGAATTTCCACCTGTGCCTCTGTAGCGTTCGCCTCTATGACACTTCAAAAGCCTGACCGTTTTCTTTTTGTGGCTCGAAATTATTAATAGGAAACCATTCAGCATTGCCTGGTGTTTTGCAGCTCCAATAGCGTCCTGAGCACTATTAAATAATGTACAGGTATCGAAACTCTGACTGTAATCAACACCATCTCCTCCAAAATCTTCCCATGACTCCTGCTATATAGTATAATATTTATATTTTTAGAACATGTTAAATTAAGATAATTAATTTTAACATGTAACATAATAATTTGTAACTCACAACATGATATTATCTAACGTCCAATTTATAGCATAATGAAGTCTAACATGTAACACAATAATTTGTAACTCCTAACACGATCACGATAATATCTAACGTCTAATTTATAATATAATCAACTATAACATGTAACATAATATATTGTAACTCCTAACACGATACTATCTAACGTAAATTTATAACATAACCAAGGCTAACATGTAATATAATAATTTATAACTCGTAACACGATAATATCTAACGTCCAATTTATACCATAATCAACATGTAACATATTAATTTGTAACTCCTAACACGATAATATTTAACGTCCAATTTGTAGCATAATCAAGTCTAAAATGTAACATAATAATTTATAACATAATAATATAGTTCAATTTATAACATAATTATTTCGAATATATAACATAATAATTTAAAAAAAAAATTGTCCGGCCGGCCGGACCGGACGGATCGGTTCCGACCGGCCGTCGCCGCCGGACAGCTTTTAAAGCGTCCGGCCGGCCGGTTCGGACATAGCCCATTCGACCGGCCGAACTTTTCGGACGGCTTTTAACCCGTCCGAATCGGCCGGCCGGACGACTTAAATTTCGTCCGGTTCCGGCAGTCGGACGGGCTAAAAACCGTCCGGTTCCTGCGTTCGGACACAAAATTTTTTATACTTCCGAATTTGACGACATTTCACGGTACACTTTCCTCTGAGATGTTTATAAAAAATAAAAAGGACAAAATCGTCCAAAGGGGGCGGTGACTAGAGGACGGTAAATAGTACCACCCAATATTAAAGAGATGTGGGGCTGCTATTTATAATACTAATATCTAATTTTTTTTCGTCTTCCATAATTCATTTGTCCTTTTTCTATTATCTTCCCTCCAACTTTTTCACCCTCTCCAACTTTTATCTTTTTCCCTCGCTGGCTGCCCAAATTAACACATCACACCCTCCCTCTCTCTCTCTCTTCTCTCTTTGACCTAATAATAACTACTTTACTCGTCTGTGTTTCTGTTTGCCTCTCTTCAATCTTCATCCAAAACAAAGACACCCTCGAGAATCCCAGTAAGTAAATCAGTGCTACATATTCTTCATCATCCAATAGATATTCAGATCCAATATTGAAACTACTGTATTTTGATCGATTATATCAGATTTGTCTCTTTACTTTTTTCTTTTGTGTGTGGATCAGAAGAAGATGAGGCCGGCGGCAAACGTAGCAGCGCAGTTGGGAGATACGACGCAGACGAAGGTGTTTGTCGGTGGGCTGGCATGGGAGACTCATAAGGACACCATGAGCAACTACTTTCAACAGTTTGGTGAGATCCTCGAGGCCGTTGTCATCACCGACAAGGCCACCGGAAGATCTAAAGGCTATGGCTTTGTACGTCTCTCTACCTCTATCCTTTTTCATGTTAATCCATCAAAGGACATGTACCATTCAGTCATCATCATTCATCTCTCTCTATATCTATGTGTGTGTGTGTTGTGTGTAATTATTACGCTTTCTAAACAACTATACAGTCCTGCCGGTAGTTTATCAAGAGATGATGTTCTATTTTCTTTTCAAAAATCAGAAGCTGCATACATATATAGATCTACTCAATTAGTTAATTACTAGAGATTGAATTGGAATGATGCATGGACCAGGTAACTTTCCGGGATGCAGATGCAGCTATGAGAGCTTGCATTGATCCTACTCCAGTGATTGATGGGAGGAGGGCTAATTGCAATCTTGCTTCCCTGGGTGTTCAAAGATCGAAGCCTTCTACTCCCAAGAATGGTATGGTTTTATTGTTGATAACTCTAAATGAATTTCATTATGCCTCAAATTAAATGAAGTTGTGTTACAACAAGTGTTATGATGGAACCTTTATATTATTATTATTATTATTATTATTATTATTATTATTATTATTATTTATTATTATTATTATTGTTATATTATTATTAATATTATTATTATTATTANTCGGTTTGGTTTCGGTTTAATGGATAATAAACCGAAGAAACCGAACCTATTCACTTAACAGAGCAGCAGCAGCAGGCAGCCATGAATTTTTCCTTTTCTGTTGGGGTAATTTGAATGAAAGAATTTAGTATAGAAAATTCAAATAAGTTTTCCACCACCACAAATAAAGTAATAGCTAAGCTAGTGTGTACATGGCTGGCCACAGCACATGAGGATATACATATATATATTTTAGAAAAGCATGACAGCTCATTTCCCACTTTTGCTTTATCTGCTGTGTGGTGTGGTAGCATATGTGATTTCTCGGGGTTTCTTTACTTTTCCATGCCTAGCTGTACTATAAACAGTAAAATAAAAGCCTTCAGTAGAGCTAGCTGTTGATACTTAAATCAACAAATTAATTGACTAATTAATGTATTAGTAGGTAAATATGTGATGAAGTGCAAATATATCATATAACTAAAATTTGTAAAAAAATGATAAATGGTGCAATATAGCAGGAGGAGGGAGGAACATAAGGGTGATAGGAGGTTTTCATCATCAGACGGCAATTGGAACAGCTTTTACTTCAGCTGCAACCTTCCCCCACTACTCCATTCAACAAGGCATTCCTTACAATCTTTATGGGTATGCATTTGTTTTTACTATGCAAAACAAACATTTCTGTTTTTCATTTTTCTGTGTATGTGCATTTGGAATGGCATCACGTGCACTGCCACCTAATGGGGGCACATCACATTATCACTTTCTACTGTTTTCGAATGCCTACTCATTTTCTTAATGTATTTTTACTCCTCTTTCTTTCTCTCTCCCTCTCTCTGGCCTTTTGATGGTCACTCCCCATCATCACCTCCATGCTGACATACTCTCTCTCTCTCTCTCTCACTCACACATGATGTGACCTGTTTTTCCCGCTCCCTCCCCCCCATGAATATGAATATATGCTGCCATTTGCTTCTTAATAATTAAGCCATATTAATAATAATTTGGTGTCATAGCAGATGAACATTAAGGCGTTGCAATAATAATTTGGCTCATATTTATATCAGAGATGCTACAGCAGATGGACATTACCTTATGATAATAGTTTCTTTAATAATTATATTACATAAACATAAACATGAATCCATGATAATGAATAGGGATTGCTTGTGTTCATGATTGAGATTCTGATGCCGTCTTGTGTTGATTTCATTGTGAAAACCTCAGGTACTCTCCATACTCTGCTGACTATGCTTATCCCACGGTTTGTTCTAACCTCTCATATTTCATTACCCGCTTGCACCTTGTTCATATTTTACTTCCCATAATAGTTATGTCTCACCTAATTTTAATAAAGGACTAATCTTTTAATATTTTCTACCTTATGCGTGCCTAATATTCTTGATGTATACTAGGTTTATTGATATGATGTTATCACTGAAAACAAAAATATAACTTCTGCTCTGTCAGTTGTGTGGTCTGACTATAGAAAATAAGAATATAAATTTGATCTCATTTTCCCCACAATTATTTATTAAGCTTGTCCTCATGTTTCACATTTCGGAAAAAAAACATTGGAATATATCCCCTAGCATTCTGTGCTCCAGTCATGACTAAGAATTAAATGTAATGTAGGACAACATATTGTATTTTTATAGATCCGCCATACACTATTATTCTGTGTTATTAAATTTTCAAGTCATAACTATTTTCCATTCTCTTCTGGAATTTATAGTTTGAATAAGAAGAAAATCAATGTTTTGACTTGATTAATATGTATAATTAGCTTGAATATTAATTAACTCGGGTCTATTGTTTTGCGTAGAGCTACTATGGGTTGTATGGAGGAACAGGCACACAATATCAGTTGTATGGATCTGGGAACAATGGACTTGTCACAGGCGGTTCTGCATCCGCTTATTACAACCCCTATCTCAGCTTCAATGAGGGGACGGTTGGAGGAGCAGCAGGCTACTCCTCAGCCGGACAGGGTGGCAGCGGTGGTGCCTATGGTGTTCACTATCCCCACCAACACCAACACCAACACCAACACCTCTTCCAGTATTCACCAATCAACTCAACTGCCATTTTTCCCTCACATTATGGCACCCCTGTTTCTCTTGCCCCCCCAAATCCTCTTCAATCAGGTTTGTACAATCCTATCTGTGATAAGTTCAAACCATCACCTTTGAATATTTTGTTATTTTACATCGTTTTTCTTTTCATTTTTTATAATTTTGGTGAGGTTATTAATACTTTGACAGTTTGCTTTGTTGTGCCACAGGCGTGACCATGACTCTGCCGGCACCTATACCCCATCGTTAGAGAGACCACTATCTAAATGATCGAGCAAGAATGCATCATTCTTCCAATATGATTTGCTACACACTTCATTCTGAAGTAAACCTTTGGCCTTACCATGGTTTTCTTTCTATCTCATTCTCTCTCGGCCCATGCCTGTGGCATTCGGCCATCCAAAACACAAGGAATATACCCCCTATAGGGGTTACATCCAGTGGTGGAGTTCCATCAACTTCTCTTTGTAGGAAAGGTTCCTACATGAGAATGGAATTTGCATGAGCATTTTGCATCTCAACTCGGGCCTTACTTTCAAAGGCCAAGTTGGTCCATCTTATTTGTCCTTGTTCTTCAGCACTGGAAAGGCTAAGCAAGACAAAAAGAAATCATTTTGACACTGCCCCCTGAAAGGAAAGGGGATTTATGCAAACACTTCTTTTTTTAATTGTTTGTCAAATATGTATCACAAATGGAGGTCTTTCGTTTTGAAAGTGTTTATCTCGAAATGTCTGATCTTTTTAACCTTAAACTTTGATGTTGTAGGTGTTAGTAGTCCTACTAGATTAGGAAATCAGGGCAGAGGATGCCCCAGATTTTTATTTATTGTTACCCTAGTTTCAGGATTTAAAAAAAAACTCTGACTAGTATGGTTTTGTTTTTCCACATTAGAGTCTATTTATTAAAACTGTCTTCGATAAAGACATGGATCTTTTCTTCATAGGATGAGGGAGATCTTGCTTATGGAACTAACTGTTCATTTATGTAAAAACATCCAATCATGGTTGCATTTTAGATTTTTTTTTTTTTTTTTCTCTTTTTTTTGATAAGGGACAAAATTTTTTAGCTCATCACTTACCTTGAAAGAAGCTCCATCAGATGGCTGTGGAGGTTCAGTGCATCAGAAGTTACCCTTGATTTTTTTGGTCACTTTGGGTTCTTCTATTCCCAACATACATACCAAACCATGGTTAAGACTCGGGTCATCTTCAGTTGTGCTGTCACCATCTCTCTCTCTCTCTCTCTGGTATTAAGAACTTCTCTTTTGAAACTTGATGCTATTTCTATTAAGTCTACGGTACGGTTTGTAATTTGTTAACTAGGAAGAAGACCCATTTCTGTTTGACTATTTAAATTAGTGACTGCTTGTTATTTCAGACTGATCTCCTCCAGTTTGTATTATGCAACATATATGTCTTGTTATTTTGCTCTTGACATTTTCATTCATCAGTATTGCAAGTGCTTCAGCTCACTATTCACACTTTTCAAGAGAAACACCAATCTAATTTATATTTCTTTCTTTGCCCTCAATCTGTGCAAGACCTAGGATTGGCAGTTTAATATTAAAGGTTTAGTGGAACACTGTTTCAACTTCTACATACATCAATAAAATATTAATTTGATGATATTCTCTTGCAGAATGCACCTAGATTTCCAAATCGATATGATGGGTAAACATTATAAAAAAACAAGGTAATATAAACTAGTGGTCTCAGTCGAATTCACTTCAATTGTGCCTTGAGATATACATCACCAGTAGAATGTACTTTTAACGTAACCAACACAATATAGACAGTGGAAGAAGAATTGGGCATGCTTGTTTACAAATTAATTCATTTTCAATCCAATTCATACTCAAAATCTAACTCAACTTTAACTCAACTCCATTATCTTTAATATTATTCATTTTATTAAATAATACAAACTAATCATCCTTACACATCACATCAACTTTAATTCACTATTCATCCACTCACATATTTTTAACTACCTATCATTTCTAATTATTTATCTCCTACTTTAACATCAAATTAATTTTAATCATTTTATTTTAAATATTATTTTAATACATTCTTAAAATCCCACTAACAATTAACCATATTACCTTTTTCAAAATTAACTCTAGTTAACCAAAATAACTCATTTTGAATGAAATATTTCATAAACAAGCGCCCCTTTACACTTCGAAAATTTCTCTAGTCACACCATGTTTTTATATTTATCAAATGATTAGGACACAACTATGATATTAAGGAAATATTTTAGAACAATTAAAAATGAATATTAAATGTGTGTTACTTTGTAGAATACTACATTCTTTTTGATAAAAGGTCACGCAAAGTACTTATTTAAGAAATTGGCTTTCGTCATATGTGCAAGTATTTACGAGGAAAAGAGATAAACGGGCTTTGGGCAGTCATAAATTGATCAATGAGGCCAGCCCAATCAGAAGACATAAGCATTCATTAACTGACATTGGGCTTAGGCATGGGTAATGTCCACGAAATAATTGAAAATAAAAGTAAAATGAGCGGGTGGGGGTGATAAAAAGACGGTCTCTTCGCAGTTGGAAACACAGTGACCTGTGTCCGTCGGAGGAAGCTGAAAGCCTAGACTTTGGTCTCTCTCTCTCTCTCTCGCACATTCTCTGCTCGGTCGCCATGTTTAAACTGTCGAGGCAGCTTCTGCACTCCTCAACGTAACACCCAACTTTTTTATTTGTTCTAATTTCTCATTCGTGCGCTTAAAAACCCTGCTTGAAATTTAATGTTTTATTTCTACTTTTGCCGAATGTACGTGCTTAATATATCTGCGGTATGTGTCCCATATATGATTTTGTGTTCTCTTAGTTCCTGGATTAGCTTGCAACGATTGTGTATGCTTAGTGTTTGGGGATTTTTTTTCTGTTTTATGAGAAAGAAAAAGTGTTTCGACAAAAGACCAGATTTTTGTTTGAGTAACTGAACTAGCTGTCAATTTAATTGCATATAGAGGAGCGAAGTGTCTTTTTTTAGTTGTATGAAAAATAAAATTGAATGACCTAGTAGTACACCAGGCTTAAGATGTTCCGTTAGTCCATTGTTTTGTCAATGGGCAAAGGGTTTGGTACTTATGATATGTTTGACTAACTATGATTGTGTTTAATGTGTTTATTTTCTCTTAATAAGCTTTTTGTGATGCTAGTTACTAGTTTTTCTTCTATATGGAGCAGTGGTTTTTTGTCTCTGAAGAATCTGGCCAATGGAGCTGCTAGTGACTTAAGAGTAGCCCGCAGCATAACTACTCAGACTGGGATCTCTTCTGCTATGCCGAAATTTGGACATGATGGTATTATATTGGCTTGAGTCTCATTTCCACTTAAACCTTCCTAAAGTTAATTTGTCCTTATAATGATCCCCCCTTTATTTTATAAGGGAATCCTTCTGCAAGAATATTTGCACCTTATTCAGTCTTCAAAGGAAAAGCTGCACTTTCTGCTGACCCTCTTCTCCCAATGTTTACTAAATCAGAAGTAAGATATTAAATGTCAAGAATTGATATTATCATGATGAAGATTTCTCTTTTCTTTTTTCCCTTTTTTCTTATTGGAGTTTGATATTAACACTATGTTTCTACGCCCATCTTCTTTAGTCTGGAGACTACAGAGTTGAACGCCGTGGTATCATTATGTTGACTTTCTGGCCTGCTATCGGTGAACGCAAATATGATTGGGAGAAGAGGCAGGTAATTGATTTACTTGTTCTGATCTTCTATTAGCACCAAGAATTTGTAATTTGTTTGCCCAAAGTATATGTTCACGCTACAAGGATTTTATATCTTATCTGAGTAAGTATTCTCATGCATACTGTAGAGATTTGCTCTGTCGGCAACAGAGGTTGGTTCCCTGATCAGTTTGGGCGCAAATGATTCTTGTGAATTTTTCCATGATCCAGCAATGAAGTCCAGGTTGATTTTCTCTTTGGTTCTGAATGTCTGAGTCCTTTATATTTATGATTTAAGTGCCGCAACAGGGTCTTGAAAGGAAAAAAAACTGTTCCTGCTTCTGTGTAGACATTTATCTGATATATAGTAGTTCACAGTAATGCAGGTCAAATTAGGAAGAGTTTATCTGTCAAAGCCCATGCTGATGGGAGTGGCTACTTCATGTCTCTGAGTAAGTGCTCCTTTATTGTATGAAGACAGTCGTGTAAAATGTTTGTATTCTTGAACATTGTGTAATAAAGTCATCTCACATGTCTAACTTAGACTACCAGTACACACAAATTTGAATGTCATGAGCAGGACCGTTGTCAGTAGACTCAGTACCTTGTATTCTCCGTTAATCTTGAACTCCAGTGAAGTACTTAAACATAGGAATGCATTATTGATTCCTAGTATACAAATGCCTTGCAGGTGTTGTCAACAATATCCTCAAAACAAATGATCGGTTTTCTGTTCCTGTCACTAGTGCTGAATTTGCAGTCATGCGAACAGCTTTCACCGTAAGCCATCCTTCCTTATTGGTTGTTATATGTTGTTTCTGGTATATGAAATCTCAAGAAATCTTTTCAAATCAATTTGGAACATAAATCTTCTTTTTTCAACTTCAATTCCTATATGATCAAGTGGGGCACCGTCAAACTTGGATGTGTACTTTCCTTTGAAAGTGGTACAGTTGAAATCAGCTTGCACATTATGTGGCTTGTGTTATTTATTTGTGTGATTCTTCCTACGTGGATGTCTCCACCTCAATGGCAGGAAAAAAGATTGATCAACCATAGTGATCATTTATCAAAATATGACTTTGGTTATCAAATGACTGAACCACCGGGGGCAATTTACTTACGATCCTTAGTTGACATTCGGAACAAGTCTCTATTAAAACATGAGTTCAGTTCATCCTGTTTAGCAGAAAGATGGGTATTCCTTGCTCATTCTCAGACACTCACTTATTCACAAACTTCATGTGGGACTAATACTTTGCATTTCCCATCTCATGAAAAACCCTCTTCACTTGGCTTAGCCTTATCTCCCCCTCTAGGGGGATTTTAGTGTTAGGTTCTAGACGATCCTATTTGGTCAAATACCTAGTGACAAACTCCTATGTTTCTTTTATTACGGTATCTCTGACGAAGTGCCTGGTTAACGAGGATCTGAAGATTTATTTTCTTGAGGAGGATGTTATCAGTGAGATTTTTGATAGTGACAATATTTTTGACAATATATTTGGTAGTGACAAAATTGATGTTAGTGACAAGACAAAAGCTAGCGACCCTAATGCTTGTGTTTGTTCATTTGTTGTTTTCTTGTATGCAGTTTGCTTTGCCTCACATAATGGGTTGGGACAAATTAACCAATCAGCAGCCAGAGTTTTCCGCTAGTAGAGGTTCGCCAGCTGTGGCGGTCCCTGATCTTCAGAGCTCCGAGTGGGATAGATAAGATGAATTAGTACATTTTGTGAAGTGGATGAATGTGGCTCTTGCAGCAGCAGTATTACTCCATGGGTTGAATGTTTAACAAACTTATATCAAGTTTCAATAGAACAGACCATTTGAATTCTGGGTGTTATGAACAATTAGGAATTTGAGTAAGCCTGGCATGCATGTGGCACCATGTCTGGTGCAGTCTTTTCCCAAACACCTGCCCTTGTTGGAGTAATATTACTATTATTATTATTATTATTATTATGTTTAGTTTGCGTAGTATCTTTTTGAGCCTGATGAGGAGAAATAAAATTTGATGGAACTCAAAGCCAAAGCTTCAAAGTTACATCTTAAGTTTGAAGCGCATCTCATATACAAAATTTTTATTGGGATACAAAAAAGGCAATGTTGTATATTTTTAACGAATGCACTCAATACCGTGGCATATGACTAGCCAAATTACGAACAGAAGAAGACAAACAGCAGCATCCATGGCTAGAACAATCCGAACTTGGCGACACAACTTTTTTCTCAGATTTTGAGTGTTCGCCTTATTATTAGTAGTATTAATAATCCTTGTTGTCGAACTAGTGCCACCATTTCCCAATTGAGAAGAAGGCTGTTGGTCGAGTTTGATTTCACTGTCAGAAGAGGACCTTCTCCTATGGTTCTCATCCCCCGTCTCAATAGCAACCACCACATCGTGTTCCTTATTCATTTTCATCATCATCATCTTCTTCTTCTTAGTGTCTTGTTTGGTAGGCTTTCCCAGCAAGGGCATTTTTGTCGAACCACCAGCTTCATCATCCACTTGTGCTTTGTCCTGGCTACAGTTATTTTTATTACCACCATCATTTGACCATTCGGCTTCTTGCTGCTGTTGTAAAGAGGCAACCAACCGAGCCACAACTGGAAAGAACTGCTGCTGCAGACAGAGTGAGTCGAGACTCGACACGCTCCTTCTTGCAAACTCATACCTCAACTTCTCAAGAAATGTAAGAAAGTGGGAGTTACCGAGACTTTGGTGCACAATCGCGAAATACACGAAACCGCAGTCCATTAGAAACCCAAAAGTGTATCTGCCAACTGTTTGGAAATACCATTGGTGGTAAGGTGGGGCCATCTCGAGACACGAAGCTGCCAGCTTGTCCAAGTCTTGATGTTGGGCGGGATTATTGTTGTAAGTGTACAGAGCTCGGCCTGCCTTCCATACACAGCAGTAGCTGACACTGTTGTTGTTCCCACCAGAATCCATAGATTCCTAGAAAATGGCATAAATATTTGGATTCTTGTAAGAGATCAAGTTTAATTAATCAGCTAAGAGATGAAAGCCATGGAGACGGGAATCCCTCGGCCAAGAATATAATTAAAGATGAGGACAAGAGAAGTTAGTGGCAATCACGACACAGGAAACCTTCTGTAACCAAATACAATAGACTTACAGAGACTTTTGCCTCCTCAGCCACAGCTAGCGTAATTCAACTTCTTCAGCTTATTAGCTGTTGGACAGAGTCTCAAAAGATTATTTATATTTCTTCTTGTGTACTCAGAAAAAGATATAAAGGAAGGATAGGTATGACAATCTTCGTTGTTGACTCGGTCATTGTGATTGTAACCCTGGGTCTTGGCCCTTATATCTTCTTTCTCTTCTTTCTATTTATTTATATTTATCCATTTTTCAATGTAAATGGACCCTGGGAATGCTAACGCGTAACAACCTCTTCATTAATGAAAATTTTAAACAAATGCTCTTCTTGTCTTTGCATTTACAAATTGTCTCCTTCTGTATTTTCCATTTAAAAAAAAGAGAGGATCAAAACTAATATTACTACGATGGGGAAAAAAGAAAAATGACAACATTTTTCCAAAGAGAAATTAAAAGGAAGTATTTTATTTTTGCAAATTTTAAAGTAGGGCCCTTCAAAAGTGGTCTCTTTTGATTATGTGTAGCCTACCTCGAGTTTCTTTTGTATTGTTCATTCAAGTAAATTAGTTAACTACTCCAACTTTGTAGCACATATCCATCCAATTTAGAAAAAAAGTACCCAGGCCATCTACTACACCAGTTGATATAGGAAAAAAATTTATGCATCCCTTGATAAATACCACTGCAAATCCCAACCACATTCTACCCATTTTCCAACAGTGTTCTATCACAGTTTCATCGTCGTTACATATAGCTACGTGTACAAAATCAGTGCACCTACAACACAAATAGTCTAAATGTACACTCCTCATGCTTCTCTAATCTAACATGTGTTTGCGTGTAACTGTAAACCGACCTGTGAATACCAAAGTCCAGCACATGCATGGGTTTCTCATAAACAAACACATACAGATCATCCTATTATTGAATCTATGACCCAATCCGAGGTTTGTGACTAATCACTTGGTAGTCTCCGTAGCCCTCTCTACCTCAGCATATTGAACAACTGTGGGAACAACTCTTTCATCTCTGTCCTCAGACTCTGGAGACTGTTGGCTAGTTTGAGGGTCTCCATTAGTCTGTTGACGAGACATTTCATCGTCATTCTCTAAATTTAAAGAAGCTGCGAAGCCACTGGAATTTGTTTCAAAACCTTCAGCACTATCAGGTGCTTTAGTAGAAGCAGCAAGGAGGGACTGGCGGCAAAGGGGGCAAGTGGTGTGTGTCGATAGCNTATTATATACAAATATGATAGCGAATTTCAGAAAACTGAAGTAAAACAAACATTTAAATGCTCACATCAAATGCTAACATAAAACGGTCAAGTTTGCAACGCAAATGAAGTACCAAACCACCTAATAAAGATTAGCCAAGTTCAGGAAAGCAGTAGCCTTTTCATTCTTTCCAAGGCTTCTGTAAGTTAATTGGAGAAATGAGATCAACCAGTCACTAGGTACCCAAGGATTTATAAATGATAAATCTATTTGAAATCTGTGTCTTTCTAGTGATTGAAAAATAGTTACCAATCTATTTCAACCTTCATTTATCTTTCCTAGATGTTTCAGCTTTCAGCCTTTCAACTATCTAATGCATCACAATTTACCAAATGTAAAATCGGTGTCTTTTTCCTATAAATAGACTCACTGTTGAGTTCACAATAAATTTGTATCGACTCTTGTCCACGTGTGATTATTTTATGAACAGCTTCCAAACAGCCCATGATCCCTCATTGAATCTCCTACATTTAGAGCTCTGTGAAATTTTTCATGCTCAGAAAATATGGAAAAAGAAAAAGAAGATGAATTCGATCAATCATCATTGTGTGGATCACAGGAAATCTGTAATGCTAAAATTAAAAATGTTGCAGCTAAGTCCATCACTAATTCAACAACAGATAAAAAGATGTGTGTCAACGATCTTCAACGGGAGAATGCATAAGGCAACTGCAAGATATATACCCTGATCTCCTTCAATAAAGTGAAGACGAGCTACAAAATAAAAGAAAAGAGAGAAAAAAAATGACCGAAAAACCTGGTGAAAGAAAGAAGATTAGGAAGTTGAACCTATCAGTTAGTTATACAAATAGGCCAAAGGGCTTATGCCAACCATCTACAAACAAAGACATATATAGCTTCCAGTTGGAATAGGTTCAACAACCATAAATGCATTTCACAAGTTATCCCTTAATAAGTTTCACAAACATCTTTGGATTAGGAAATGGATATTCCATATGTTCAGTCCACCAACTAACCAGCTGAAATGTGGCACAAGGACTCATTGGAACAAAATAAGGCTATATAACCAGCATTACCAAGCACCTACTCGATCAAATATTTGATTTATATGCCAATCAATCTACGAAATTATGCATTTCCTCTCTTTAATTGAACTCTGAAACACCGCTCTTTATCATATCTAAGGTGTTTTGACTGACAGAAAGAACTTAAAGGAACCTCAACCTTAAATTTACGGAAGAATTTTTCAGGGCACCACGCACCAATGAATTTATTTTACCATTAAACTTCAAAAGGGAAAAAAGAACTGTTTTTCTCCAACAAAGGAACCAACTTACTGAGTATCTTTGACGAAAAAGCTCTCCTTGAACACGATTATGGGTAGCATCTCTCTCAGCTCCTTCTTCAGCCCCATTTCACACTACCAACCCAGAAAAAAAGGTGAAAAAAATTAAAACGAATTACAGGGGGCAACCCAGCATTGTATCTTTCCTGACAAATTGATAAAAATTCAACAGAAAACAATAAAAAAAAAAATCTTCCATCTGGATTGAGTTTGGGAGAGACGTACCCTGGATAGGTCATTACTTTGAGAAGCCAGCATGGATGTATTAGAAGTCCTCATTCTCAGAGAAGACCAGTCCGTCCTCCGGCGACGGAGGTAGAACAAATAAAATAAGAGGAGAAGTATAAAAATGAAGAAAATCGGCACAGAAAAGATGAAAGCTTGGTACAGTTTCAACTCGGATGAAGCTCGAGCATTGCTTGCACCATTACAGTTATTGGTCGTTTCTTGCTCTGAAATGTCATTTTTAACACTATTAGACATCACCAACAGAAAGATTGCTTTTTTTCCTCTTTGAATATTCATTCAGGCTCTGCTCTAGATGTACGAACACGAAAGGCCCAATAAGTCAAAACATAGAAAGATTGGATCTTTGTGGATCTAGAGATAGATGAAAGAAAGAACTGGGGCAGGTTGTTCGATCTTTGTCTGTAATAAAAGGCGAATGGGTGCTGTGCCTGTGAGGATCATAAATACCGAGTAGAAACCAAAGATCTGCAAAGTAGGTTGAACTGTTGAAGATGTGAAGAAATAGCAGTGAGACACAGATCTTGATGATTAGTACATCCTACTTTATTTAATCCGAATTGCTTCTATAAAATAAAAGAGATTTTTTGTTTTCATTGCATAACATCACAGGGATGAGCGATTGCCGATTGCTTGCTGCCTTTGTAATTAAGATCAGTGAACCGGATTATAATATGAACTGTCCGATGGCGACGACTATCTAGACATGGCCACGGTCCGGGCCGGCCCATGGTCCCGGTCCGGGCCCAGCCCGCAACCGGCCCGTAGGTTGCCGGTTCCGAGAACCGTAATTGTGGCTTTACGGGTCGTTTCCGGGTCCAGTTTTTATTTTTGGTCCCAGTAGTCTAGGATCGGGTCGGGACCGGGCCCGGATCGAGCCGGGACAGGGCCGGTTCACGGGCTTGGCCCTTGTTTTTTGGCGAGCCAGTTAAGGTTCACCCATGGGAGGCCCGCCGACCCGACCCCAACCCGTTGATTGGCCAACGACTATCTTTTTAAAAGAGTTAAAAGCATTCACGTTTTCTTAATTGTTAATTTATCATACTCTAAAAAAAAAAAGTTCACAATAACAATAAAATAAGCATAAAAAATAAGAAATAAAAATAAATTGGAATAGCAGACAAAAGAGACTCGCTATTAACGTGACTCGCTATTAACGTGCTAGAACCGTGATTTTTGCTCCTTTCTCTCTCTCGGTTCGAGTCTTTTTTTGTTTCTCTTGGGTTTCATCTCTAGCCTACCCCAGACTTGCTTAGGACTAAAGGCTATGTTGTTGTTGTAGCAGACATAAGAGAAGATAGCGACTAGCGAATATCAGGAAATTGATTTGAACGACAATAAACAAAAATAAATAAATAAATACAATATGAAGTTTGTTATTAGTTGCCAAATTGGCATGCACCATCACATGATTTTAGTATTTTGTCAACCTTTTAAATGTCATCACTGCAGTCTGCAGTCAATCCAATCTTAAGTTTGTAATAGTGAGTTCAATTTGATGTCATCAAATCGATCATCTTATTTGTAATAGTGAGTTCAATTTGAAGTCATCATTCCAGTAAATCCATTCATTCAATCATCTTACCCGCATTGATAAACTTCATGTATCAACTTCACGGGGACACCACACTACCCATACAGCTAGTATCAAATTTACCAATCCCTTCAGAAATCCCTTCAAATTTACCTCAACATCCTAAAATATCCAAGAGAACCTCCAAAATATTTCATGAAACTCAGAAAGGTACAAACAAACTGTAAGACAGAGAAGGGCAGGCAGCATTGATCTTCTCTAAACCAATTTGCAACACAAATAAAAGAAGCAGTGCAGTTAGAGGATATTGAGATGGGTAAACTATCACTGTAAACTTCAAGAAATGTCACTTCCCCAATAATGTTTGTCAGGATACAACTATCACATTTGGTTACACATTTACAAACAATGAATTTCATGGCACCCTCTGAGTGAGAGGTTTTATTTACAGATTTCTTCATCGCAAATACTAAAATTGCACGACAGGGTTAATTACTTAATTATACGTCCCTCACTTTTAGCCTGACTTCAGAAGGGGAATTGGGTGACTTTCTTGGGCTTGAAATAGAATTCAGGTTCTTTTTGGGGCTTGCCGGGACAGGACTGAATTTTTGAACCAAGATCTTGAAACATGGAAAAGACAATAAATAGAGGCCTCCCAATATGAATGGTGCAGCAACAAGCCAGCCCAACAACTGCATGTGTATATCAGCATAACTGATCAATTGCAAAAAAAAAACAGTTGCAAAGGATAAAGCACTCGCAACACAAGTACCAAATTTTCATCAGTCAATATTCCCCTTCGGTTCAATCAATAGTTAAAGACATTTAATGTTATTTCAATCAACCACGGTATTCTTTAGAGATATTACAATATGGAAACTCACAACCTACTTCTACAAAAACTAGCTCACGTTGGATATGAACAAAGATATCAAATTCAGCACATACCGCATGGAGAATGCTTTGCAAGACTTCCTTTGAAGCTTGTCCAGTCAAGACCTTCTTCAAAGCATCAGAAGTTAAAGGGAAATGGGGCCCTCCAGTAATGAATTCCCCAAACCGTAGAAACGGAATCATCAGACTAATAGTTAAGATAAAAAGAAAAGATCAGGATTTGAGATTCTTCTTTACAACTGTCCATTGCAACAACAGTAATAAATAGCAGAAAAAACTAAAAGAAAGCTGCTAGAACAGCTGACAACTACTTTGTAATACACTGTACAAAGAGTGCTCAAACAAGATGAAGATAGATAAACAAGCAGAAAATAAAGGCTGGATCAATACTCAAGTATCTGAATATAGAGGGACTTCCAACTAGATAGTAAGAATACAAAAGGAAAACATCTTTACGATTATCTAAATAGTAAAAGCCTTCTGAAGCCTAGTTCAAGAGGATGAACACCACAGCAAGAAAAACATTAGTTTTGCATAACCAAAAAGCAATTGGTTTTGCATAACCAAAAGATTGACAAATAATTGGTGAAGCTTCTGTAAGGTAATACAATATCAAATTAAAATACATTCAATACAGAAAGAGCGGACAAATAAAATATTTCTGAGAAAGGATAAGGATCACCTCAATTCAATAGGAGTAGCAATGAAGTTGGCCAGCATCACTGTCGGAGCATGGGAAAGAGATCCAAGTAACGCAATAGCTATACCGCAAAGAAACACCGTAACTCCTATCAAAGATGATAAACATCAAGTGTAAGATGCTACAGTCCATTCAAATCATTTACAAATATAACATCTGTAGCGTAAATTTTACAGCCTTTCAACCCAGATGGAGCATGATAAAACAGAACTCACAGAAATATAGAAATGATTTCGTAAGGACAACAACAAACCAACTGTATGTTATGTCTGAGATTTAGAAATAAATGAACCAGCTTTTGAGTTGTCCAGGAATCTAAAGCTCAGGAGAGAAGGCCCAACATATATCGAAGCATGATGATATAGAACAGAAACTGTAACTTCGTTATTCAAGGAAGGTGTATCAAATTTTAACTATCAATTGTAGGGCTAGATACAGAATTCGAAGATTATGATGCCAAAAAAGATACTAGACTAACATATTTGTATAATGATATCATGGGGTTTCCAGTGAACAGAACATCAGCATATTGGTAAACTCTTTGGATTTCATAAAAAAAATCAGGAACGTGGTACAGATAGGAGAAAATGAAAATGTGGAACTGACTGTAAATTACCACAATCGAAAACTAATACACAAATGACCGATTTTTTTAGCTCAAAACTGAAAATTACCACAAATTGGGAACAGCCCTAAGGTGATGCCCAGTGAAGCCGAGAAAGCTAGCTGATTCGGCTCAGCTCCCCTATTAATTTTGCAAAAATATCAGGCATAAAACCAGAACTATGATCCGTAGTATTAAAATCAAACGAGTAGAGAAAAATAAGAAATAGCAGAAATTGGGGAATAAATCGATGAAATATAAATAATATTAACCGGCGGAGAATTTGGAGAAGTGGATCGACAACATTTTTGCGGGACCACGAGGCGATGGCGTATCCGAAGCGTTTCACCATGATTGTTCCCAGCCAAAAAGCTTAAATCTTTGATCTGAAGAGAGGATCTCCGTCCGTAGAAACTCTCAAACTCAAGACAAGAATGGATTCTGTCTGGGGAGGAGAGAAGGTTACAAGAAATTGGCAGGTTTCATGGATGAATGGAATCAGAATTTTACTGCTCCTTTTATTTTTCTAGTGGGGTTTTAAACTTTTCACTTTTCAAGAGTTATTATTTTTTCTTGATAACAGTGTTCAGTTAGCAGTTCTGCGCGTTCAGACGGTCGGTTGGTAAATTACTAAATTTTGGGGCATTAATTTGATATTATAAAAATAATAAAAAAAATGACATTACTTTTTCGTAGATTTATGAAATCTATCTATATTTAAATATAAAATAATAATTTTCAGTATAATTTTCAAAATGCAAAATAGTAAAATTTTATGGTAAAGCGCATCTCATCTTTATTTTTATTTGAAGTTGAAATTTGTTTCTTTACCTTTTAATGAGTTCATGAATTCATTTTGTAACAAAATTGTGTGAAATGGAATTTAACAAAGAAAACATTTGTTCTGTTTGGATTTAGGGACTCTTTCTTGTTTCGAATGTCCATATACACACATATTGGAAAGTATATATATTGATTATATGAAATGAATCTCATGAAGATTTAATACTTTTAACTTTATTTAATGAAGAAAAAAAGAAGAAACACACTGGCTAAGTCAGTATGACTGTATGAGTAATGAACTTTGGTTGGTTGTCTCATTGTCCATACTCTACAATAGATATGGAGTAGCCACAAATCAATCCGCACCATTTTCTCTGTTTGTGCAAATAATAGATATGAAGTAGCCACCATTTCTCTGCTTGTCTTTAGCTTGATGCAGCACATGCTATATTGTTGTAGTTAATAGTTTTAAGAATTCAATGAAAACCCTTCTCGAAAGCATTCGGTCCGAACATCTTGCATAACACGCTGCAGCTGTGAAGGATTACTCGTGACCACCGCATCCACACCTTCCAACAACATCTTCTGCATCGCCTCATCTTCATCAACAGTCCACGCGTACACCTTCTTTTTCCTCCTGTTCATTGTATCCAAGCCCAGACTCAAAATAATATCTATATATATTTTTGCTAACTAAAGCAACTGTTGAACATTCCAACTGAACTGTACCTATGGAGAACTTTCACAATTTGTTCGTCAATCAAAGGGTGATAGACGCCAACCACATCAGCTCCTCTCATCCTCAGCAATTTCATCCTACTTCCAGTCGTACCATCTATCATTACGATATAGCCCACCTTCAAAGCAAACACAAAAGTAAAGTAAACAAACTAGTCCAATAGCACACCGAAAACAAACTAGCTAGTTTTTGCTTGTAGTTTTAACCAAAGTGCAAAGTAACATTATGTCTGGTGAAGTTTCCATTTGTTTCACAGTTGGCCTAATTACTATAAGTTCATAGCACGATTATTAAAGATAAATCTGCCAAGATACAATCATGCCACAAATAAGAAACTGCCAAAATCCTAAGAGAAATCAGCATTGCGCACGCCCTAGGAGAAAAGCACATGCACTCCGCATCTCACTCACCCCTGCCCCTGCCAATGCCCAATAGGAGACACAAAAGTACATTTACTAGTGTTTATCCCTATTTCCATCTATTCCAAATGACAGAGTGAGAAAGATAACCTTCCTGCCTTAAACCCACCTAATGCTTTTCTTCTTCATTTTCTTATATATTCTTTACTGTACTACTGCCATGTTGAGGACACTACTACGAATGGCCATAGAAGTTCACGCTCCAGATGATATCAATTTGTGGCTTGAGCAATAGTGTAACCAATATTACCCTTGTATTTATGGATAATTTAATCAAATCCCTCGCTAGGCTGTCACTTTTTGCCCATACAAGGCAGTTTTTACACTTGGTTTTTTCAACCTGCAAAATTATGACAGTGAGGCGATTAGTCTAGGTCATAGAGATCCACATGTTTAATAGAGAAGACAGAGAAGAAAAATCAGCAGGATGGATTTATTTGTATGGTGACAGACATAGCATCGGACACATTAGATAAACTGTTACATTTAGACATCTTTTCTCCGATAGAAAAGAATTTTAAAATGGATTAGCCCTTTTGGAAAAGTAGTAAAGTGAAAATGATCCCAGAAACAAAAACCTCTGTTATATAACTGTGAAGAGAGAAAAAGAAAAGAATCCTTGAATTAGTTTTCAAATAAGGCATGTATTATCACCACTTCAGTATTTTCTCCTCATCTCTTAGATGATTTGCTGAAATTTCATTATTACCATGCACAAACATCTTAATCGGACAACATTTACATCCTCATTTAAACAACATTCATGAGTTGATTATAACTTTAAAATTTTGTATGCCATTGATAAATAATCCCACAAGTAGTCACTAAAATAATGGAAGTAAAGGTTCTACTTTTAAGCCATTTCAACTCAAGTAGACGTGATCCCAGTTACGAAGCTCGGAAAGAGCAAAGCTAAGCTATTCCACACTATTTTTAGTGACTCAGGAAATAACAAATTATCAACAACTACGAGAACTCACGATAGAAAGAATATCCTTAGCAAGTCCTTTCTCATACAGCGGTGGCCCAACTTTAGCATCAAGAATGACCTGCCGTACAGAACCTGATACCAACTGACATACAATAATACAAGTATGAGAATATGGTCAAATAGAATTTTCAAGAAAGAGTGGTAACTAATACACCGAAATACAGAAATAGCATGACCAAATATTTTCAAATTCAGTCTATAGGCTAGTCCTATTCTATTTGTAAGATGTTAGAGATATTGCTATCTGTCAGAACACCACCAGAACCATGTCACAGCTTTCCTTGAACTCGGAGAGAAAAGAACACAATACTACAGCATACCTTTAATGCATCTTCGATGGTTGGAACATTCACACCATGCTCCAGTAAATGATGATGACTAGAACCGAGATCTACAATCTACAGCAAAAAGGTAACACATCACAGTTTCATCAAAATCCAATTACACCATTGGTTGAGAAAAGTTGGCAACCCACCTCTTTCATACTTAAATGACCAACTTTAGAAGTACTGTTCCCAGATATTCGCTGCAGATCCCTGCCTGTAACATGTGAGAATCAACACTCCAGATAACTTCAGAACAATTCAGAAAATGAACACAGAATCAGTGAGAAAAGATCATCCATCTTTAGATTGTAACTCAGTGCACTAGTTAGTTCATTATAAGCTAAATGTAAGGAGGAGATATTAGTGAAAGCTATTCTTGATTTCAAGACGTGTTATTTTTAGGCATGTCCATCTTTTTAGCCTTCACTCAAATATTATATTCTACTGCCACCCTGACTAACTGGATATGAGCCCCTAAATGATCATTCTGCAGAGAATATAATCATATAATTGTGGCCTTGCAAGCATTATACTTAATAAAACAGATAATGAAGCAAGTTTGAAACATACCCACTCTGCTTGTCAGAAGCACATTGTAAAAAATTCTTTACGAAATATTATCAAGAATAAAAATCACGATAAACAAGAAAAAGAAAAAAAGAAAAAAAAAAAGGCCAAAGGAGAAAGAACCAGTTATCATCCATGTGATTATTGTTCTATTAAGTCTGAAATACCTGTCATGTAGAGCAAACAATACTCCGTCTGATGAACGAGAAACATCAATCTCAATGCAATCTACTTGAGAACTTAAAGCAATATTATATGCATCCATCTGTCAGATGAAAAAAACAGATATTTATATGCAACTCTTTAACATCATTTTCCTCATTTCTTTTATCATCGTAAGTGTTGCCTACGGACATATGAACAAATCAGAGGCCTGCACAATGATATTCTGCAAATTATCAACCAACACTAAGTTATATTTACGTCTTTATTTTATTTTTTTCTTGAAAAGTTGTAAATGCTAAACCCAGCTAATCAATCCCCCTCACACCCACCAAGAAAAGAGCAACTCCACTTGTATTATGCTCCAATTCTCACTTGGTAATCTTTAGTGAACTACTAGATTAACCTACAAACCTTTAAATACAAAAATTTCAGAAACTAAATACAGCATTTAGCTTCTTAAACAGAACATGCCCTGCAAGATGAGATAGACGGTCAACCCAGGGTAGGAATATGCAAAACAAGATTAAGTGAAATGAAGATTGCCTACAGTATTGGGGAAAGCCTTGGTAGAGTCACCCCCATGAGCACACACTAAAGGAGGACTTCGCATCCAGCTGCACTTTCGCAATTGTAACTGCATATACATGGCAAAACACAAAACAACAATGTAATCCAGCAAATCGGATGATTCAACAAGGGCATCTCAGTGAAGCAGCTGAATTTGTCACAATTTCCAGCAAAACATGACATAAATGATGCGCCATCAAAGGGTAGCTGAAAACAAGCTACCCTCTGGAAACGCCAGTTTCTCCAGAAAACTGCAAGTCCATATAAAAGCAAGTGCGACTAGAGCATGAAACCTTTCTAAAATCAAGCAAGATCGGGCAAACTGCGCGTACACAGTCACAACGCCACAAATTGGATGATAAAGAAACGCATTGAAATGCACAGGAAGGGTCCACGAAGATAAAAACCTGGTTAAATCGGCGGAGACTGAAATGGAAGTAAAGAGGGGGAAGGATTGCAATAACCGCGAGTGTGATGAGAATATATCTCAATAGCTTTCTCCTCGGGAATAAACTGCCGCGCGGATGAAGTCGGATCTGTCGCCGTTGCCGATCCCATCGTGAGATCACCGTCGCCATTTTCGAGAGATAAAGAACTGATTCAGTCTATGGTCCGCTTGGTCCAATAGACTAGTAAGTAGGCTAGTGGCTGCCGGTCTTTTCAAGTTCCGATATTGCCCCTGTATCGTGCCACGTCACCGCTCGTGCACCTCACTTGCACAGGATCAACCTATTCCCTCCAAAAAGTAGCTCCCCTGAATATTATCTACGATTCTACATAAACGCTCTCTGTGAACTCATTCACTCTCTCTCTCTCGTACACACATACATACACACACACAAACACGCACTAATCGCGGAAGGTAAAACACTCATTCCGAGCTTATAGCATTAATCTTCATTTTGCCTTCCGGATGCTGTTAGTTCTGAGCACGCTTGCATCTACCTGACGTATAGGTAACGGTGCCAATGGAGGAGCTATTTCAGTACATGAAGACTTTTCGCTCTCAGATTAATGGTTCTCTCTCTCTTTCTCTCTCGATTTCTTGTGTAAAAAGCTTATTTGATAATTTAATCTATAAAATGTCGGTTCGAGCTAATGAGATTGATAATTCTCGTTAGACCTTTTGATTCATTGAGGAAAGGAGTTTGTTGAAGATAAGATGGTTCAAATGTCTATAGGACGCGCTGAGATTAACTCTTTTCCATGCGTCTCCATATTGCAGATGTGGCGGATCAAGCAGCCAAGATATCAGTTGAAGAACATATGCAATGCACCACTATTCAGACTCTCCAAAAGGACCTCGATTCAGGTTATCGCTTTTCTACTGAATATAGGGCTAATTTCTCAAATTTACTTTGCTTATGCTTTAGGTGACAGATTGATATTAGAGTTTTTATTTGTGTTCTACATTTTACATTTTCATTGAATCTGCACATTTTGTTGATGTTCTACAATTGGAGTTCTTCTTAACAACGTTTTAAAATGAGGAACTTTGAAATTTATAAAAGGCGTGTCTATTTTATTAATGCTTAGCAAATAAAATGCAGTGAAGAATGAGACTAAGAAAGTTATGGAGGAACATGATCAGATAAACAAAGCAAAAGCACAGATTTGTTTGCAGCTTTTGGACAAACAGAAGAAGATTGTCTTGTTGGAATCTGATTCTTCCACCCTCAGTCAGGTACGGGCATTTTATTTTATTTCTCTACACTTGCTGTATATGGGTGTATACCAGCAGGTAGACATCTTCAAGGAATTGAAGGTTATCTGGAAATATACTTATTCTTAATATTTCTACAATATCTTATTACACTTCATATATCATAGGTGTATTATATAGCACATATCAATTTGAACAATAAGGATACACTAAAGCTTGCATAGATATTTAGTATTTGCAGAGTGGATCACCTGTTCTCTTCTCTGTTTCTATGTATGATAGTTGAGTATTAATTCCCCGTTTAGCATTCTATGCTGGAAATCCTCTATTTTTCCTCTTGCATGCAGACAATGGAGCTTATGAGACAAGAAGTGTTGAGCCTTTCAGGAAAACTCGTGGATCAAAGGTATTTTGTGCAGCATATACCAAAAGGCCATTAAGTGTTGTTTATGGAACATTTGACTCCCATAACAGGACACATTATAAGAAGGTGAATGAGGATATCTGTGGACAACTAAAACAGCAACAGGTTTGAGGTTTTTAAATGTAGTTATTCAGCTTGCGCATGCTATACCCAATACCTGTCTACATTACTACACTATATGCAGGAGTGGGTCAATGCTCAGAATTTTGGCTTGGAGACCAGAGAGGGCTCGGTAATTGTATATTTCTTTTTGCTTTTCATACAAGAGATGCTTATGGTGTTGATTTAATAAGTTTTCCAAATAGCATCATGGTTCTGTCTTTATTGCATTGATCCTCTCCAAATTTCAATTAAAAGGATATCACCCATAATATGAGCTTTGATATTACTAACTACATTATTGAGCTGACAATGTTGTGAAGGAGTAAGTTTATTTTAAAAAATTGAAGTGGAGCTCCGACTATGTTGGTTTCCTCTGTTAGTGTCTGGTTTCTATTAAGAGATATATTGACAATCACTGATGAGTAACTGCGCAGGTAAACAAGAGAGCGGGTGGAACAAAAGGTAACAAACCGGAAATAATCTCCAGTTTGACATGCTAATTTTTCATTCTGTCTCATAGAATATCTTTATAAAAGATTGGAATGGCAATGCAAGATGCCTATTAGCCGTCATTATTAAGTAATTTCCACATTGGGAAGTATGCCGGGATAGTCTTTGATCTATGACACGAAATATTGGTTGTGATACAGACTTATAGTCTCATGCTGTTGGAGAAATTTATTAGCCACCTATTTTGTCATTGCTTTTTCCTGCATTTGATAGTTGCATTGATCTCGAATAACAAACAAATCTTTGGCTATCATATAGAGTACGTCGATAACGTGGATCAGCGTGAGATACCGGACTTTGAAGCTGCTCAAGTGAAGTTTGATAAGATAGAACAACTAAGATCAAATCTTGTTTCGGAGAATAACAAGGTTTGTTTATGCACCTTAGACACTCATATTACCTTTCCATCTCGAAAATAATACAGTAGTAAAGAAGTATACATTATATTGTTAGAATGCGTATTGATGTTAGCTTAATGGTCTTAGATAAGTCATTACAGACTAGATATGCCATCTAGATTTTCTCCCCATGGAACTCCTTTCGCTGTCTGAAGGGTGACTGATTGATAAAACTAAATCCCTTATTCTTGGCTAAGATTTGTAGAGAAAAATGAACTCTTAATATTTTGGTTGAAATGATGCAACTGGAAGTTGCTACAGCTTGTTGATTGGTGTAATAACTAGATGATACTTTCTGATACTTTTCAATGCCTATTTTCGGTGCTACAGCTGAGGCAGTCTCTCGAGGCAGTGAAGAATAAAATGACTGAATTCAAGGTGACTTACAACGATCCTTATATTTTTCTTCATTTTTCTCTTTTATTTGACATTTAGTTGTCTTCTGGGCTTTACTGTGTTTGCTGCATTTTACTTCAGTATCTTGTGAAAGGTAAATACTCAGACATAGTACACACTTCCCTTTTGTGCTTTATTAGACCCTAAAGGCATCAAAATCTGCAAAGTCTGTTTCCTAATTTCATGACGTGAAGCACAATCTTATAAATTATATGTGAATGATAATGATGTGTGACTGCAGCCAGAACTGAGGGATATGGATGAGAAGAGCTTGAAAGAGGAACTTCAAGCACTACTATCTGATAAAGCTGGAGAAGCTGAGTATGTGCAAACTCTGCAACACCAGATCATGAGACTGAAAGTGAGCTGTCCTTTCTCACTTTATGCTGTTTATTATCTCAAATAAAGAAACTGCTATCTTGATCTTACCATTATTGTGTCAGTTTAGCTTCAGACAGTTGTTTTACTCTTGTTATCGTCAATTTAATGTGTATATGATTGTTTTATTTTCAGGAAATTTCTCACACAGTTAGGTGCTCTTGTGGAGGGGAGTACATTGTTAAACTGGATGTATAAGCTTGAAAGTTTATTCTAGGTGCCTTGATTCTGAGAAACTAAAGAGAAATCTCGTGATATGTTCCCTGTTGCTGTTCTAGTCTTATGCCTTCAATTACTTTTGTCGGATTAGATTTTAGACTTGTATGTATTGAGAAATGATTTTCATCCCTATGCATTTACACTGTACAAACTACAGTTTGATGACCACCACTTCTAAACTCAATTGGTTTTAGGGGGTGATTGGATATGAATTCAACTAGTAAAAACTAGTTTTTTTTTAACTATAGTTAAGTTTGAAAAAAAGTAATATGGTTAATTGTTAGTGGATATATTAAAATAATATTTAAATTAAAATAATTAAAGTTGATTTGATGTAAAAGTAGGAGAAAATGATTGGAAGTGATGGTTAGTTAAAATTATGTGGGTGGATGAATAGTGAATTAAAGTTGATGTGATGTGTAATAATAATTGTTTGATATTATTTAATTATATTGATAATATTGAAGATAGTGGAGTTGAGTTAAAGTTGAGTTAAATTTGTGTTTGATTTGACATTCATATTGGATGTATAAAAAAAATTTGTGTCGATTTATAAGAAGTATTTAATAATTTAAAATAAATACTTCTATTAATTTTTATTTTTTTAAATATAATTTTTTTAATTATAGACCTTATAATTGAATTGTCTCACACACAGCTTGGTTAGAGGCAAGAAGAGTCCCATGTAAGATGATTGCCTAGCAGAAGTTGTGTTATATTTTTTCCATTTTTCATGAATGGAGAAAATATAAGATTGATGTTAATTAACGTTATATATCTTAAGTTCACTTATTATATAGATGCACCATTGACAACCAAATTAAAGCCTGATGAAAACTAGCCACAGCTAGCAGTAGTGAATTCAGAAATTAGGCTGCATATATATAGGGTCACGCTCCGGTGAGAATGACTCTTAATACGAGAAATAAGAATAAATCATAGCCATTCGATCGGATGATCTAATGGCTAAAAAAAATTATAAATTTTTAACACATTAAGGCACTGTGGTAATTTTATTGCCAACCAGCCCATGGTCCCACTTCACCCCAATCAATTCCCAACTACCAACTCACCCACCCACCCATTCTCTTTCCCTGCACATACACACGGGTCCCAACACTCTCTCATATCCCAACACACATACTGCACACACACCAACACACACATACACACACGGATACACACTCACGCACAGTAGCTTCCATCCTTGCCGGTCACCGACCGACGCCGTCAACCTTCTCGACGTCGCCTTCTTCATCGCACGTCCGACGACCGCCGCCCGTCAGCCTCTGCGTCCGGTCTCCCTAACTCCTCCGGCCGCCTCACTGGTTCTAGCTCCACCCCCGATCTCCGCCGCCCGACGCCGTGCCGTCATCACACGTCCGATCCCCGATGCCCCGTCAACCTCCGCCTCCTGTCTTTCTGAATTCTCCGGCCGCCGCACTGGTTCGACTACATCCCCGATCTCCGCCGCGGATCTCGACAAACTTCATGTCACCGGCCACGGCAACAGAGGGACAATCTTCAAGGTCCGACGTCGCCGCAACTCCTCCGCCCTAAAGTCGTCCAAGCCGTCGGACCTCCGCCGCCTAAAATCACCCAGCTTCGCCGGGAAAAGAGGCACGTACTCCTCGGCATTAAAGGAGAATCTGAGCACCATATGATCGGACGGAGAGGCAATGGCCTGAACCGACTGGCTGAGCCGCTAGACAGGGGGGGAAGGAGGGGTGAAGGGCTGATATTTGAGAATTGGATTTGTATGAGGGACCTGATTGAAATTTATTTGATTTTAGATATATTACAATTGAGTCTTTGGGTCAAATGTATAATTTATAAAAACATATTATTATTGTTATACCTTTTTTTTCCTACATATATACTAACATAAATAATTAAAAGAAAAAGTGAATAAAAATGATATGAAATATATAATTAATATAAAAATAATAAAAATATATATAACAAAATAATATTATTTTTTTTATATATTCATGTCGGTTTAATAGATATAGTGCAATTTGATAATCAGTAATGTGCAACCTGCTTAACAATAATGTGCACTATAAGTATAATTATTTTTTAATGACTCGTCTCAAACTAAACCAACACTGAAATAATTAGTTTTATTGATATGTTAATTTAATTAAGATAATTAACATTTATTTAAAAAATAAAATAAAATAAAGTGGTCACCATACTGAACTACCGATATTATGTAGGTGGTATTTTGGCGATAATTATTGTCATGATAAAGTGTAATGCGATGTTCTATAAAGTGCAATGCATTGTTTCATAAAGTGCAACGTGACGATATATAAAGTAAAACTACTGTAAGTTTGGTACGTATGTTAACATGCTTATGTTTTTTTTTTTTTTTTTTTTTTTTTTTTTTTGTTGAACATATGAGTGATGTATGAGAAAATATTATGTTGATCCGTTTTTTAGATTTATGTTGTCTTGTATTTTGGCGGTAATTATTGATGCTAATTGTGGAGTGTGTTGATAAAGTGCAGCTTGTTATTATATAAAGTGCAATGTGTTGTTTTATAATGTGCAACGTATTGTTTTATAAAGTGCAAAATTTTTTTTATAAAGTGAAATAATTTGTAAGATCATATATAAATTATGTGTAATCGAAAACTTTTTTTTAATAAATATAATTGTACAAATAATTAATTTAAATATTTTATTAGTTATAATTATTATTATTATAATTATTATTATTTTACATATCGGTTATTTCGGTATAATGTATTTTTTTTAATTCAAGTAATCGATATAAAAAGTTAACTATATTAAAAATATTAAGTTTTTATATTTTTTTTTTATTTAGATGATCGAAATAATCGAATGACCGAACTACATAAAAAATGCACCACGATTGTACAATTGTGTTAGATGAATTGCACATTAATAGCTACCCAATTGCACTATATCGGGCAAACCCGGCAAACTAAGTGTTTGGGTCCGATATACTATACTTTAGTTCGATTATATGTTTTACTTTTAAAATTTTAGATATTTCGGTTCAATGTCAGCTTTATTTTTCAAAATAACCGAACTGATCGAACATTATAAAAATATATTCTTTTGTTATTTATTCGTTTTAGATCTTTACAACCAAAAGTAATATCAAATATTAAATAAAGCATTAAATTATTAAATATATTTTTATAATATAAATTCTAAATTATTTCGCTCGTTTATGTTGGTTCAATTAACCGATCAATTAAACTGACTATTTAGTTCTATTTTCGTTTGATTTTGGGCAAATCATAAATAATTCAAGCACTTAGTGTGCACAATAGTGTTATACAAATTGCACATTAATGACTTCCGAATTGCACCATAGTTTCCGCAACCGATTGAACTAAAATTTTCGGTTCAAATTTTAAATTTCGATTCAAGGTATTTTTTTTTTAATATCTATTATTTCAGTTTGATGACGATTTTATTTTTTAAACGGCTAAATTATTTTAAATATAAATAAAAATATTAATATCTTAGTTATAGTGTAATTAGTTATAAATTTGGCTCATGACATAGTGTATTAAATTTTTTGAAATTACACTTAGGTGCCTGTGATTTATAAAATATTCAAATCAACCCCCAAAGTTATCTAATTTACAAAAAATTAACCCCACAAATCAACATCAACACCATTCAATTCGTAACCTTCAGAATTCAACAATCTCAATACGAAACATTCATAAACGAGAATCACTGCCACCACGACGATTTCCGGCAACAATATCTACAGCATTTCATACGGACGGCGGCGGAGGAGGAAGACGTGAGGCTGAGGCAGGCGGTGACGGGCCCGATTTGAGTCTAGACGACGAGCAGAAAGCAGCTCTGCAATGAAGTGTGTCGATTGTCGATACTATCCTCCGTTGAAGAGCGTTGACTGCCGAGAACAACTCCGTCGGCAGCGGGCGGGCAGCGTCTTCGCCGGCGTCGATAAGGATGTGGTAGGCGGGAGATGATGCAAGCACCGCCGATGGGGGAGGTGGATACGATATGTTCGGCCGAGGGAAGACAGAGTACTGGTGGCGGCGGATGAATTCCGGTGGCTGAGGACTGGTGGCGGCCGGAATTTGTGTGTGTGTGTGTGTGCGTAAGGTTAGCGTGTGTGAGTGTGTGAGAAACAGACGGAGATGACTGTGCGGCGGTGCTCTAGTTGCCGGAAGGTGGGCTCGAAAGTGATGGCTGTCGGCGGAAGGCGGCGGCAATGTGGTGGTTGGCCTGCCGGAAATCTGTATGTGTGTGTGTAGTGTGTGTTCAATGCGTGAAGATAAGAAAGAGAAGGGGTTGAGGAGAGAGAAAAGTGTGTTGATTTAATGAGTGGGTCCCATTTTATATGTTTTTTACCACCCTATCCTTAATTATTGGTCAAATACACATATTTGACCACACAATGGTCAATAATTACTAAATTGCCATTAATGATTGACCATAATTTGACTTAATCATAACCATTGATATGCTTGATCCTATGGTCCAAACTTATTCTCATTTCTTGCATTAAGAGTCATTCTCATATGATCCCTTGCCTATATATATATATATATATATATATATATTATAAGCCCAAAATACAATTTATTAGGGAGATGAGATGGATTGAATTAGTATAGTCTTGTCTGTGACTGATATTTTGATTATTATAAGATGATCGATCAGCAATTATAGGCACAGCGACACACGACCCTAGGAATTGTCGAGCTTTCGCACTAGGAGTTGACGAGGCTCTTGCCATACTTTTTAGTGCAAACGCTCACACATTCCTGCACTCCGTTCTTGTCACAGTGAGACGGCCAAGTATCGAAACACGGATCATCACTCATCCCTTGCTCCATAACTGCCACGTAAAACAATTCATTCATTCGTTCGTACATTCAAATAACAAATTAATTAGCCAAAGTAATACATATATACACATGAGAAGGTAATTATTTGTGATTTAACTGTAAAAATATATCGATTAAATTTGTTGTAGCGTAGTCTTACTTAGTGCCAAGGAAAGAAGGAGTAGTATGAAGGAGAACTTGAGAAGCATCTGACTCTACTGTTTTCCATCTTTGACTTATATTGAGAGATGATGAGTTTAAGTAATATGGTGGTCATGGTCATCACTCAACAGACACCCGGTTCTATATATACTAGCTAGCTACATGGTAATAGGTATTAATTAAGAG